ACACACACACACACACACACACACACACACACACACACACACACACACACACACACACACACACACACACACACACACACAGAGACACACACACATACTCTCACCACAAGACCACATACCTCGTTCCACCTCCACCCATGTGCTCCCTACCCAACCCATGAGCTGGTCCAGCCAGCCAGAAAGTCAAATACACTCCATGGTTGACTGGCGGCACCATCTTACCTCGGCCGGCAGCCAGGATGGTGTGTGTTGATGAACTAGCTCCTATACCAGAATGCAAGGAAGCAATCAATGAGAACACCAGAATTAGGAAAACAGAATACAAAAGCCGAGAGCACAATTACAAGCAAGCTGGTCACTGAAGTCTCTCGATAGAGAAAGCACTACTGCTCGCCTCCAATAGTCAATGCAATTGCCATGTACTAGCCCTACTCTGATGTGCCTGCCATACGCTACTCCCTTCTGCTCCTACACACACTAGTCTACTACTCTCGCTCTCACTCTCTGTATACTTGTCACTCCCCGGATGCTGCTTGAAGACTCAGCTCACAAAGGCTGCCCTTGTAAGGTCTGCCAGTCCCCACTGTCTTCCTCCTCTTCCTGATCACTTCACACTTCACCACCCCGCTGCCCTGCTATGTGCTGCCTACTAGCTATGGCAAGCACTCAGCCCAGCAGCCACCGCAGCTGCCTGCTGGATGAGAGCAAGATGGCCACAATCCGCTGCTCCAACGCAGCTGCAATGCTGCCCCTGGCCGAATGTCCTGCTCCACCTGCCTCCGTCCCTTTGTACTGCCTGGAGGCTGAGTCTGGGTCTGGGAGGCAGTCCCTACTGCCTACCAGACTGAGTCCAGATCCCATCCGTGCCAGTGGTAACTAACTCGGAGGCTGGGCGTACTGGTTAGTTACAGGGGCTGGTGTCTGTCTCAGGCCCATATATTTTGTTTACCGGCCTTCACTTAGCGCCACCACCATTTTCTCAGCCCCGCCTTCTCTTAGGACGGTCTGGATTTCTTTTCATGGGCGGCCAGTTTGAGGCATGCCATGGCCTAGAGCCTCACACTTGTGTATTCAATGAATGCCACATTTCAGCAACAAGCCAGTTATCACAACTTATCAGCATTTTTTTGTCTGAAAAAATATGGAAACACAAGTCGGGCTTAGCATGTAGAAAAGGCTATGAAGTAACACGGAAGGAGTTTTGGACCTCGTTCTAATGAGCATGTATCAGGTAAAACAATTGTGGCTGAGTTGCTTGAAATTTGTTCCAGTTTTCTTTCCATCGTTTGGCATTCTCAATGCGTTTTTCTATCCCCGTTTAAAATTATCACGATCTGCCTTTCGGGTGATTGTGCAGTGGCGAACGGTGTTGTGTCTGGACATCCATTCTTTTGCAATACAACCCAACAGCTCCTGCCTTGAATCAGCTGGCCAACAGCCAACGTCAAGTCAATCATGCAATGCCAGAGAATGCCCCCAATACGAGCTATATGCTGGACCGTGGGAGGAGTGCAACACGACCTGTGGTGATGGGTTGCGGAATAGGAATGTGCACTGTAGGGACAATCATGGGAACACGGCATCCATGGCACGTTGTCTAACACAAGGTGGCACTTCCATGTCTTCCAGTGGTGACCTCATTGGCAAGAGGGTGCATAATTACACTCATATCATGGGAATGATTATGATTGCATCTACGGAGGAATGCAATGCTGCTCCTTGCAAGGACTTCTTCTGGGAAGTGTCGAAGTGGAAGCGCTGCTCTGTACCATGCGGTGGAGGGGTTACAACAAGGGATGTGAAATGCATGGAACTGAAGGAAAGCGGCCAAACGATTGTTGCCGAAGAGGATGCATGTTTGGCAGTTGGGCCGAAACCTGCAAGTGAACTGGAGTGCAATACACAACCTTGCATCGCCTTCGCATGGAAAACTGGGCCATGGGAGCCATGTTTGCCAGGCTGTACGCCGAACTCGACACAGGAAAGAGAGGTTGTATGCGTTGACACACTTGGAGATCATCAGGCAAGTACCCAGAAAGCAGTTTATGGGCCCTTGTGACCGTTTGTGATGTACCCAAACTCTTTTCTATATGCAAGGAAAATGAGCGAGATCGAATGGCAGACATCAAAATTGCATCATCACATTGAAAGGCAGATAGTCGTATGTCGCACGGAAAGGAGAATGCACCTAGGAAGACTTCCATGCCCAGCCGGGCACCCGGGCATGACGCCCGGGGTTGCAAAACAATTTTAGTTTTTTTTTTTGTTTTTTTTTTTGTTTTTTTTTTTGGGTTTTCTGCGCTCTCCTAGAGGACCCCAATT